TTGTCGTTTCGCAGAAGGGGTCCTGTAAATGCCCCTCCAAGATCATTGACGCCTTATATTACTTGAATAGGATATTGCAGATGTTCTATTGGGAATAGAAACCGTAAAACGAAATAAAATAAATTTTGATAAAAACTATTTCAGAAATTAGTCGAGTGCGAGTATCGCCCTTTTCGAGTCATTCCTCATATTGTTCCGACTGTTGCCATCGTCGTGAAGGATGAGACAGCCGTAGTGATCGCTAGTGAATTAGGATCTGATTGGGTAGATTTGAACACCGTACTCCGCCATTCCTACAGTAATATAGAGCAGTACTCACAGGTATTTGTCGATTAAAACTTTTTTTCTGGTAATGGACCGTTATCAGCAGTGGGTTATTTTAGGTGCATAATTTTGTTGTGGCTTCTCTGGCAGATGTCTACTTCCAGCTGGATTTATTGAAGTGTTATGTCACCGAGCCACAGTTCTTTTGTGATAACGTTTTCTGGCTATTATGTGATCCATTCGCTACTGGTACTGACGAGTGTCCGTATGAGGACTTTGCTTATCGAAGGTTCGATCATTAGCACAATGACAACATTGCAGATGTTTATTTATTTATTTATTTATTTCATGTTCGACAACATGTGAACCTAGATGTTAGAAAATACAACACAGTGCACGAAACAATCAACTAAACCTTGACATCGCTATTTAACAGCGCGGAGAAAGCCGGTATTTCTGAGCCATGAAAGTTACCGAAGAAACTGCCTAGCCTTGCTAGTCCTCAAGCACTCCGTACCCGTACGGAATATAGAGAAATTGCACCATATTTTCTGTTCTATTTGAACTTGAGTCGCTTTTTCTTAGCTTTCTGAACAGAGCACGTTCTGCCGTTTAGGAGAAATTTTGCGAACTGCGACCCCATCTCAGAAGTTTGCCTTCTGTTGGGACTCCTATCCCGGAGAAATATGTCTTCCTGAATATTCCCAACTTTTTCACCTTTTTTTTCAACGAAATTCTCCACTGTCTCGCCAAAAAGCTGCCGTCGAGTGGGAGTGGCAGATGGGAGGAGGATAGGGAAGGGGGTATAGCGCACTTGGTACAGGTATAACCGAGGAAATTCAACAATCGAAAACATCTTTCCCGGAGGCAAATACCAACCCCATCCTCTGACCAAATACGACCCCCCTCGCTGGAGGTCCGCAACTTACGACGTGCCTTGTTCCTGAGGCACATAGCAACGGGCAATGGATGATTCTGAATATTTCCTGAGGCTGTTCGGCTTGGGAGAGCATTTGGCATTTTCACTAGTTGTTGAACTACACGTTTTACTTTTCTACGACCTGTAGACTCTTGTCAACTGGAAACGATGCTCCTATTGCATACAGGGCACGTTCTGTCGCTGGGGAAAAGGTGGAAAAATGTCACCCCCCCCCAGCCATTTCCTCTTCTGGTGCGCGGAACCCTGCTTATTTTTGTATTTCCTTTCCCGCTGCTACCGTAACCCTTCCAAACTTGTTGAAGCGCGGTCATGTGGTACTTCGCACTCAGGCTCAAGGAAGCAAGTCCCGACCGATCTGAAGTGCATGATACCGGGCATTGCACATTCCACGATTCGGAGCAAAAGTACTTCGCGGCTCTACTTCTCACTTCTCGCTGAAAACATCTTCATGTGGATTTTGTCAACCTACTAAGACACTGACTTTCAGTAAAGCCATCCTCACAATGGGTCAATGGATCGTTGTCGAATTATGACTACATTTTGGAACTTAACAGAGCGGCTGGGCGGGTTAGGGGAGAAGGTGAGAGGAAAGTCCTTTCTTCTCTTTCATAAAATGATCGAGTTTGTTTTTAGTCCACAATCATCCAATATTCCCATGGGTATGCGATTTCAAAGAGCAGAATGGTGGCTGGCGTGACCTCAGCAAGACCAAGTACCGTCTCACTAAAGGCGATGACCAATTAGGGTCAGTCTTTTTGTAATTACAGAGTCCTTCGCTGCGAATGATAGGGCGTGTCAG